GGATAAACTCTGGTCCAACCCTAGGTTGCATCAGTGCTTAGTTCTTGTGGCCCCTTCTTACATGCCCAGGGAAATGCTGATTGCCACTTTGGGGTCAGGAAGCAATTTTTCTCCAGGCCAGTTTGTCTGTAGATCCTGGAGTTTTTTTGTCATCTTTTGGATGTGGAACCATGATCAGTGGGGGTGTGAGGGGCAAGTATTTGTGAATTTTCTACATTGTGCATGGGGTTGGACTAGATGACCCTGGAGGTCCCTTCCAACTCTGTGATTCTATGATTCTATGAACTGCATGCTAACTTTGCAGGCCCAGTCAGAGGTAATATGCTGTTGATAGCAGTGGATGTCCACACAAAATGATTGGAGGGCTGTGTAATGTCTTCAATCACTGATGAGGTCACAGTGGGACAGTTCAGTCAAATCTTTGCCACTTTTGGGTTGCATGAAATTTTAGTCACAGATTTAGTCACACATTTTGACCCCAGATTACCAATGGTGCTGGTTTGTGATGCCTCTTCTTACATACCCCTTCTTTACAGGGGCCATTTTCAGGGATTTTGTAGAATGCAATGGTTTTCAACATGTACACACTGCCCCTGACCACCCCTCCTCCAATGGATTGGCAGAAAGGGCAGTGTAGTCTGTAAAGAGGGGTCTGCAGCACATGGGACAGGTGCCTCTTGAGACTCAGCTAGCCAGATTTCTACTGTGATACCATGTGACTCTCCATGCAACAACTGGAGTGTCTCCAGCAGAACTCATGTTTGGTCAATCGCTCTACTAACATTTGGATTTTCTGTGACCTGCAGTAGACACTAGGGTGCATTGGAGCCAAGCATTTATGCATTATGGACAATCCTGTCAAATTGTGCCACATGCCTTTCAACCAGGAGACCATGTTTGGGTGTCTGCTTTTGGAGGAACTAGACAATGGGTGCCTGAGTAACCAAGGGAACAAACATAGCCAGTATCCTTTCAGGCAAAGCTGCCTTCAGGACTGATACTTAAGAGACACATTGACCACATCTGTAGGATGCCATCAGAGTTCCCAGCAGGTGACTGAGTGGCAGTAGCAGGGCAAGGTCAGCGAGTACACAGTGGGTTGGGGTGTCTTAGAGACATCTGAGAAAGGGGATGATCCCATCACAGGGGATGCCCAACAGTCAGAAGCAGATGCACAGGAACTCCACAGACCAGTAGAGACTAGGGAGCAGGAGCCCCAGGGCTATGAAGTTCAAGATCTACCAAAGACAAACTCTGGAATGACTGGCCCCTGGAGATTGGGGAGAATAAGAAAACTGTCAGATAGACTGACACTGTAGATTGAGTCCTAGGAGGAGAGGGGTTTTATATCATGGGTCGTGGTGAATTCACTGACATTTCTTTATTGTATAGTGGAGTTGTTTTAAGATGATCCCATAAGATAAAAAGCCTTTCCTTTAGTTCCACTTTTCACTTATGTTGTTGATTGCTGGCTGTGGCTGACTATAGCCTAGCAGGGCCCAGACAAGGCCTTGCTTGTGTTCAAATAAAGTTGTCATTTGGTACTGGACGCCATGGAGTTATTATAATCAGGCTGGAGGGGAATAGGACCCCAAACTGGACTTACAGAAAGTGACCCTTTACAAAGCGTTAGGGCTCCAGTGTGAGACTGGAAGGAGGATAGAGATGGGAGTTTAACAGAATAATCAGAGAAACTCTCTTGAAAGAAATGAGAGTGCAATCATGTAGTCAGAGTAATGTGCAGGTATCAAACAGAACACAGCACAGAGCTCATAGATATTTGTCCCCACTTCCAGCATCTCCACAATATTTATCCACACTGTTCAATGTCTATCTCAGAGAGAAAAGGGAGGAGGGAGGGAGATGCAAAGGGTGGTGAATGGTGGTGGAAGAAGAGAGAGGTGGGGGGGTTACAAGCAGCATAGGGGGAGGGGAGGGCCTGAAGAGCAACAGATGTGCTTGCAGGCTGAATGACAAGAGGTACCAAAATTAATTCTAGCTAGAAGCAAGAAGCTCAGAGGCAGAGTATGACCACATTGTGTTACGAAGTAAGATGAAGGATCCTAAGAGAAGAAGCAGAGGAGATTAAGAACTGACTGAGAAAAAGAGAAGGAACAGAATTTTGAAAAGGATAAAGTGATAAGTTAGACATGTAGAAAATGTTTCCTTGCAGCTGATGGACAGCAGACATTGTGTATTGTTAGCAGGAAGCAAGGCATGGTATATTGGCACTATTGCTTTAAAGATAATTCCCATTGGCTGAGTAGAAAGGAGAGGATCAGGTCTTGTGACCATAACTGGAGGAAGAGTTACAGTTACTGGGGGCTAGTTGTGGCTTGTTCTGTTAATTGGCTGTTGTGTTCCAATAAACACAGTTTTTGTGTCCACTGCTGCCTCCACTACTGGTCCTTCCTCCCTCCCCAAAGATATAACGCAGGGTGAGGTAGACATGAGACTACTGAGCAGAAAGAGAGCTGGCTGGGCATCAAATGTTATATATTTAGGATTGTATGGATGTTGCTGATTCCATGAGGAATCAAGAGCCATTATGGTGTTATGTATATGTGTAATTTATATTTTTTGTTTATTATTTTTGCTAGGAATAAGGCCCATTGTGGAAATAAATACATTGAGCTCCAGAAAGAGGCTCTGGGTGGGTGCCCCAGAATCGGGCAGTCAGTGTCAATTTGCTGTGGCGACCTCAGCACGGTATAATGACACAGAGCCCACCGTTTTCTCCAGGGGAATTGATCTCTGCCTCCTGAAGAGCAGTTGTAATTCTGAGTGATCTCCTGCCCACACCTGGAGATTGGCAACAATGGTTCCCCATGAGGGAATGGCAGGTTTGGAGGGTGGAGTCTATGGCACTGTATCTGAGGTCCCATCCCTCCTCCAACCCCACCCTCTCCAGGGACACCCCTCAAATCTCCAGGAATTTCCCAACTTGGAGGTGGCAACCCTATCTCCTTCCCAGACGTCACACTGGCTGTCATGGGATGAGCACCTTAGCAGAGTATAATGACACAGAGTCTACCATTTTCTCCAGGGAAACTGATCTCTGCCATCTGGAGATCAGTTGTAATTCCTAGTGATCTCCAGCCCTCACCTGGGGATTGGCAACAATGGTTCCCCAGGAGGAAAAGTATAGTTTTTCCTCCACACTGGGGGCCAAAGCAGCTTACATCATTCTCCTCTTCCCCTTTTGATCTGCACAAGAACCCTGTGAGGTAGCTAAGGCTGAAAGTCTGTGACTGGTCCAAAATCACCCACTCAGCTTCCACAGCAATAACCTAGGTCTCGCAGACCCTGCCCTAAAGCGCTAACTGCTATGCCACACTGGCTATGGTATCACCTGGTATCACAACTGAACTCCAGACAACAGATCTCTCCCTCCCCCTGGAGAAAATAACTGCTTTGGAGGGTGGACCTCTCCCCTCCCCAAACTCTGGCTTCCATAGACTCCACCACAAAATATCCAGGAATTTCCAAACTTGAAGCTGGCAACCCTAGTCAGGACTAGTTCCAATGAGTTCCCCACAAAGGCCAAAGTAGGCCTGGAAAGGGCCTCCCCCCACACACCTTTTTACTGACAGCTTGGTTGCCTAGCAACAGCCACTAAGGGGAAAGTGAGCCGCACAACAGGAGGAGAAGAGAATGGTTTGATGGTGGAGCCAAGCAGGGGAAATGTCTCTGTCAAGAGAGACAGTCATTTTGGCAGTTTATTCTGACAGGAAACAGTGGCCAAGCTGGCAGTGGGCGAGAAAGAGGAGCAAACCTATTAGATTATTTATTTATTTAGAAAATTTCTACCTTGGTTCTCCAGGAACCAAAGAGACTTTTAAAAAAGCAAAAGGTATAAATACAGCATTAAAAATCCACCCCAGTATAAAAACATTAACCATAAAAACAGTCCCCTGAAAGCATAAAATAACAATTCCCTGACTAAAATAGCATAAATATATCAAGTATCTCCTTTATAAGGATTTTTTTTCCCTGTTGGCTGCATCAGGCAGCTGGATGGGTAGAATGGGACAGCTATGGAAAACGAACAGTGGAAGCATATGTAAAGTGTTTGCAATTGGACTCATACTTTCTCATGATGAGTAAAGCTCAAGTCAGCCAAACAAAAATGGTCAAAGCTGGAGCTAGAATACTGAGAAAACCCATGCCTTTCACTCTAGCACATGCTCCTCGTTGGGATCAAAGCATCTATTTATTTTTTGAAATATAACATAAATGATGACATGAAGGATTGGGACAGAGAAAGCATTTATAAAAATATGCGTGCACAGGACATTTATGATCCAGTCTGCAACATATGAAAAGTGAAAAACAAGTATTCAAGGGTTTGGTTTTTTTTTTAAAAAAAGAATGAGATGTCATGAAGCATCGGGTGGTGTGCCTGTGTGAGGAGGATTACAGCTATTTCCTCCCCCCCCCCATGTAGTAATCCATTTTATACCTCTGTTCTACCCACCATCAGAGTTTCTTCATCCCTTGATGTCAGAGGAGATTTTCCTCTTTCAGGTATGAAAAATCACTACAAGAGATGCTGGAAACAATAAGTGAAGTTCAGACTGGTATGATAGCTGCAACTGTTCCTGAAAGGGCAGATCTCACATTCACACATACTTTGGTGACGTCCTGACTAGAAAACTCTACAATGTTCTGTGAAAGGCTGTCCTTGAAGATTGTTCGACAGAGCTTTAAAATACAGTGGCACCATATTCGGTGATGTCATGAGGGCAAAGATGAAACATAAACTTATCAAAGGGGGGGGGAGTCTTGTTACTTGTATTATCACATCCATATGTCTTCAGAACTCACATACATTTTAAATTCCTTGAGCAGGGGGAAGTGGTACGGTTCCGTTCATCCCCTTGTATTTTCCATCAAAATATCCCTGAGACAAATGTAATATATATATATATTCATTATTTTATAATGCTTTCTGGTCACACATTTAAGCATCTTCTATATTTATTTTCTTTTAGAGTGACATGAGTGCTCTAGCAACATCAGGGCTCTTCTTCAAGGATGGCAAAAAACGAATTGACTACATCTTAGTTTATAAAAAATCCAATCTCCAAATAGAAAAAAGGAGCACTTTTGAAAAGAACCTGCGTGCGGAAGGACTGATGTTAGAAAGAGAGGTATGGTTACATTGCTTCCCTCTGTAATGATGTCATTTTCTTTGACTGCCAACCAATGTTCTCTCTAAGCTTTGGAGTCTTGTGAGCAAAAATTCTACTTTGTGAGCTACTGGCATTAAAGTTGTGAGCGAGTGATTTCACTGCTGCATAAATCAGTTAGCTCAGGAGCCATCCTTTCTGAGCTGAGACAAAAATGTGTGAGCTGGAGGCTAAAAAACTGTGAGCTAGCTCACACTAACTCAGCTTAGAGGGAACACTGCTGCCAACAGAATTATCTACCTTGTGCATGGTGGAATTGGAAAGATACCAATACACTTCTTGGAAGGACTGGTGGTGCCAGTGGCTTTGTTCCCTGTAGGTGATGGCTGCACAGCAAGACTGGGACTAAATACCTGTTTGTCCCCTTCTTTTCTGAAGCAAATTTATTTTTTATTTAGTCAGATTTTTATCCCACCCTCCCAGCTGAGGCTGGCTCAGGGTGGCTTACATAAAACAATACATAAATTGTGTACATAAATTACAATAAAGCAATAATAACACATTAAAACAATACTGCAACCAATTGATGACATAAAGTGCTAGCAGTATTGTCCTTAGTTGTTGTTATTGTTGTTGCTTTAACAATGGCAGCTGTACTCAGTTCTCTCTCCAGATGATCGGCTCTCAGATCTCCTTCAGATAGTATAGAAGCAATTAGCACTGGCACCATTGTTAAAAGTAGGGGCACAGGGCTCTCTATTCTACTGCTGTTAGTTATTGGTAATATTTAGTGGTGGTGGCGGCTCCAAAGGCCTGGTGGAGGAACTCCGTTTTACAGGCCCTGCAGTTCCACCAGAGCAGGGCCGCCACCGAGAAAGCCCTGGCCCTGGTTGTCACCAGCCTGGCCTCCTTACAGCTTGGAAAAGCCAGCTGGTTCTGGGCCCCTGAGCACAGTGCTCTCGGAGGGACATATGGGGAAAGGCAGTCTTCCAGGTATGTAGGCCCCAGACCATAAAGGTATGTAGGTATGTAGGCCCCAGACCACAAAGGGCATTAAATGTCAAAAACAGCACCTTGAAATGAATTTGGTATGCTATTGGCAGCCAGTGCAATGCCTTTAGGACATGAGTTATGTGTGTAGTCTCCTTAGCTTTAGCAACTGGAAAAAGTGCCACTAACATTTTGCCCTGACCTGGATGTTCCAGACTAGCCTAGTCTCTTAAGATCTCAGAAGTTAAGCTGGGTTGGCCCTGGTTAGTACTTGAATGGGAAGCCACCAACCAACTCCAAGGTCTCTACACAGATGCAGGCAATGGCAAGCCACCTCTGAACATCTCTTGCCTTGAAAATCTCATGAGGGGTTGCCATAAATTGGCTGCAACTTGAGCACTTTCCACCAGCAGCCAGCTGTTACAAGCCATGATATTATGTTTGTTAAAATTCACTGTCCTTGGGATACACTGTGCAAGTATGCTGAAAGGATGAACATCAGGATGCCTTTCAGGTATTGTGGAGAATACTTCATTTTGGCCACTTGTCAAGTTAGTGTTTACATATGTGTTAAGAAAACGTTTTAAAAACTTCATAAACTGTATTTTTGTACAGTTGCTTTTCCATGAAAGTTCTAAAAACATGATTTTTTTCAGGAAACAATAGAAGTCACTTTTGCATGCAGTTTTCTTATACCTATCATACCTATTATACCAGACACATACAGTTATACAGTCAAATAATTTACTCTGTATGGGCATCTGGGCTCTTTAGATGAACTCCTGTGCAGCATTTCAAAGACATCTTAGTATCTTAGGGACCATGTTTTCTATTGTAAGGTCTTTAGGGGTGTATTGAGATTACTGATTCAGCTGATGACTCACATGGTGAATCATGACATTTTTTGTGTGCATGTGTGTGTTGTACTTGACTGGTCATTGAATGTTCTAAGATATCAGAAATACGGTATGTAATGCCTAGGTTGAACTGGGACATAGTGAGTTGTAGTATTGCCATATTGCCCTAATCCACAGAAAGTCAAATGCACATCATTCACTTTGAAATCAACAGTATAACTCCCATGGCTTTCAGAAGGACATGTAACTAAGTCCCAGTAGGACATGTAACTAAGTTGGACGTGTGATTAACTTTTTCTATATGGGGACCATATCTCACTAACATTTACAGTTGATTCCTATACAGATATACTGTATTCTAAACTCATTGAAATATAAAAGTTAAGTCTGCATAGAGTAGTATGACATTTGCTTCAAGGGAAGTGATAATCATTTTTGGAAATCATAAAGGTTTGATCACATCAGTAACCCATTGAACCAGGATGAACTGGGGCAGATTGGCCATTATAGCCCCTGGGAGTTCACCCAGCGGGTCAATGGCCTGACACACACCCCCGGGACAGTCCAGTCCAGTGGTGAGGAGGGCAATGCCCAGGTGAGCTCCATGTGGTACACGGTTGGCTGAGCCAAGCATGGCATGGAGAAAGTGACACGTGGCTGGCTGGGCAAAGCCGGCTGCCTCTATCTCCCTTCTTTCTTTAGGGTGGTGGATCAGGAGTTGGTCAGCAGCTGGGGCCCTTTTCCAAGGCTGTTTTGGTGGTGTTGTTTTTTGCTCCCTGACCTCTCCTGAGGATGAGACAGTTATGTCTTTCTGACTTTTCCAGCAATATTTTTGACATTACGACAGTTTTGTACCAATCTTGGGCCAGCACGAGACAAACTGCTTCAGTTATTATTTTCCCTTAGATTTTTGTGATAATTTTGTAAGTAAACACACAGTTTAAGTTAATCTCCTGAATTGAAGTTGATCTTCTGGGTGTCTTATTTTTGTTGTTTCAGCACAGCAGGGACAAAAAGTAAAGAAAAAGAAGTTCCTCTGCAATTTCTGCCCAATAGAAATCAGAGCCAAAGATCAGACTTGTTAGTTCAAATGTATGATATTCAACCTCCCATATCTTGGACTTTCCTGTTTTTTAGATAGCTTGGCTTAGAATGAACAGTCCAGAAGCACCAGATGAGATGTCACCATTGAAACTAAATAGGTGTAGGACTGTTCAAGGACTTATCTCTGGGTCTTTTCCCCATCTAGCCTTTTAGAGCACATTTTCTACTTCTTTCCCCTATATCTTGACATGTAAATGAACCTTTTCTATTGCGAGATGTACAGCTGATTAAACACTAAACAGCAAGTGTTTGGATTTTTTTTTTAGGCTTGTACTTTCCACAGTTAACAATGATCATATCATCAGCTTTAGTATCTAAACTATATCTTGGCTTCATTGCAAGAAAACACATTTCTAGTTTTTTTGAGCAACCGTCTACCTGAGAAATGTTGAGATGAGTTTACCACATTTGGAGTGCGGTCACATGTGCCAGATAACGTGGGGGGGAAGCGAGGCTTTTTGTGCCATAGTAATTTGACCCACCACTGTGTGATCAGACGCAGCGGTGGGTGAATTGGGGGTTTTCCTTCGCCACGTGTTTCCGGTGCACTTCAACGAGGGATCACTGATGCAATGGGAGCGCGCCGGAGCGATCACATGGGGAAGTCCATCTGTGGCCCATCGCAAACCCGTTTGATACTGCAGTTTCCCCGGTATTTTTTAACTCCGCTTTTTCAGCAGAGCGAAACAGGTTGCTGACGGGTGCGGGACGCTTGTCAGATGTTCCCGTATGATCATGCCCTTAAAATCCGCCCGGCATTCATGCCTATTGTGTGGCTAATTCTGCATGTGATCGGGACCTTAGTGACCTAACAGAAGGGGAAATTCAAAATACTTTATGCCTAATTCAGGCCAAATTGAGATATACTGTTCCTCATGCTTTTCTGTCATTTGTGAAACTATATTGTGGAGATTATTTCTCTTACAGCTCATCTAGCACATCCAGCCTACATAATTGTTTTCACAAGTTCTCCCTTTGATAAGCTGGTCCTGAGCCATCAGATAAACACAGAATGAACCATACAGTCATCCGATTGTATAAAATCATCATGTTCAAAGACCTCTTAAGGGACACACTTCTGAAAACCTTTCAATAACTGAAACTGCTGTCATTCCCTCATTTAATTCAAATTAATCCCGAAGGAACAAAACAGGAGAGTTTTATCTGCAGACTCAAGTATATTGGCTGCAGTCCAGAACCCATTTACTTCAGAGGAAGTGTATTAGACTCAGTGAGACTCTTTCAGCATTAACTGGGCTATGGAATATACTAGGATGTCATAAAATGAAGCCATCGCTTTAAAGAGAAGAAAAATCAATTTCAGGGAATGATTACAATGGTCTTTAGCAGGCAACCTTCTCATCATCAATGTTCCCTATAAGTTGTGGAGTCTTGGGAGCAAAAATTCTACTTTGTTAGCTACTGGAATTAAAGTTGTGAGCAAGCGATTTGGCTACTGCATAAATTAGTTTGCTCTGGAGCCATCCTTATTGAGCTAAGGCAAAAATATGTGAGCTGAAAGCTAAAAACTGTGAGCTAGCTCATACAAACTCAGCTTAGAGGGAACACTGCTCATCATATCTACTTCATAAGGGGTAAACGTAATAAAAGATCTAGAAAAGTCAGAATAGATGTGTGCAATAGCAATCATTCTTCTTAGCAGCCTTTCCTGCTTTGTCCTGTGAACAATACGAACTACTTATTAGATATTGAAGAATACAAATATAACACTTGGGTGACCAACCCTGAAGCTTTTGTGCTTTAGCAATGGAAATATCTCTGGAAAGTCAGGTGCTGTAGTTTAGTGGCAAACTAGACACCCACATCATGCTCAGAGTCTTGAAGTTTACTGTATGAGTTTGGAACAGTAACTCTTTTTCAACCTAATCTGCCTCACAGGGTTGTTCTGAAAACAAAATGAGTAAACCATGTACATGGACAAAGAGGCAAATAAAAGTGTAATAATGTATAATTTAAAGGCCAAAATTCTGAACGTTTCTAAATGTATATTACCGTAAGGCCCCTTTTGGCAATAAAATTCAGCATGTATAGTGTGTCTGGTTATTTTAGTCCAATTATTTAATAGAAACATATAAATGTCCACAGCGTTGAAGTATGTGGTTGAGTTTGTCTTCTATTTCCTAGATATTTCATTTCTGGTTATCTTTTTTTTAATGATTCAATAGATTTTTCTGACTTCTAACTTGAGAAAGACACTTACAGAAATGTGTATTTTACAAATCAAGTCAACCATTTCGTATTAGCACTTCTTCCGATGGCAACCTTGTTAGTCCCATGTTTGTAAGTAGGGTAGGAAACCAAGGCCACCTATTGGCAAGTAAAGTCTTGCTTGCTCTGAACATTTTAAAAGTCTTAAAAGTAAATACTATTTTGTAAATTTCAAAATAAGATATCAAAATGACCTTCAGTAGACTGATGATGCTCATGGTCTTCTAAAAGTCACAGAATATTGAGGGCAGTTGAGGAAGATTGGATTGCCCAAGCTTAATATTCGTACAGGTTATGACAGATCCCTACAGTCAGCATTTTAGAGGATTTCACAGCAATATTAGAATGCTGAGTTTCTGAGTTAAGTGAGGAGGAACCTATTTATTTGGCCCTAAGTTTTATTAGTTTTCCACTGTTACATTGCAAGCATGGGGAGGATTTATTTATCCTCCTGGTATACCCTTCCATAGAATCATACAGTTGGAAGAGGTCATAGAGACCATCTAGTCCAACCCCCTGTCCAGTGCAGGACCAGCCTAAAGCATCTCTGACAAATATTTGTCCAGCCTCTTCTTGAAAGCTGCCAGTGAAGGGGAGCTCACCACCTCCCTTGGTAGCTGACTCTACATTTGAACCACTCTGACGGTGAAAATGTTTTTCCTAATATCCAGCCGATACCTTTCTGCATGTAATTTAAACCCGTTGCTTCAGGTCCTATCCTCTGCTGACAACTGGAACAGCTCCTTGCCCTCCTCCGAATGACAGCCTTTCAAATATTTAAAGAGAGCAATCATGTCCCCCCTCAATCTCCTCTTCTCCAAACTAAACATTCCCAGGGCCCTTAGCCTTTCCTCGTAGGGCTCAGTCTCCAGACCCCTGATCATCCTCATCACTCTCTTTTGCACCCTCTCAATTTTGTCCACATCCTTTATGAAGTGAGGCCTCCAGAACTGCACACAGTACTCAAGGTGCGGCCTGACCAAGGCAGTATACAGAGGGCTATGATCTCCTGCGATTTCAATGCTATGGACCTTTTAATACAACCCAAGACTGAATTTGCCTTTTTTGCCACCACATCACACTGACTGCTCATATTTAGTTTACAGTCCACTCTTACCCCAAGATCTCTTTCGCATACACTACTCCCTACAAATGTATCCCCCATCCAATATTTGTGCTTGACATTTTTGTGGCCCAGATGTAATACTGTGCATTTATCTTTGTTGAATTGCATCCTGTTTGCAACTGCCCACTTCTCCAGAGTATTCAGGTCTTGTTGAATTCTAACTCTATCTTCTTAGGTGTTTGCTAGTCCTCCCAATTTGGTATCATCAGCAAATATAATGAGTAGCCCTTCTACCCTTCATCCAGACCATTGATAAAAAATATTGAAAAGTACCGGGCCCAAAACCGAGCCTTGCGGCACCCCACTATACACCTCCTTCCAATCTGATGAAATGCTGTTGACCACCACTCTTTGGGTGGAGTCCTCTAACCAGTTCCTTATCCACTGAACTGTCCTATAGTCCAGTCCATGTTCCCAGTGCTTTAAATATATACTGTTACAGGTGATTAGCAACATGTAGGGCCTTCTCTGCTCCTTGTTGCTTTGGAAATCTCTGCAACTCAGCATACGGTTGCTATTCTTTTTATAGCACAGAGGGCAATGCTTTGAACTGTAAGAAGATTGAGTACAATGGCTTTTATCCCTGCCTTCTCCTAGCTTTTGCTTCAGCCATCCCCTATTGTGATAGCTGCTTCCAGCTTCTTTGTCCCATTCCTTTTCACCCTACCATTCCTTTTCACCTTATTGTCTTTCACTTCCATCCTTGTACCCTAGAGCAGCAACAAAAGTTCTTGGCCACAGTCAAGAAACCGTGTGCCATAGTTCATTTAAGACCCAGAATCCAGTACATTGCAAAAGACTGTATGCACGAAATATTAGCTGGGAGAGGTGAAACGTTCTCTGAAGATCAGAATTCAGAGGCAACAATAGTCAGCATAAATCATTTCTCATCAGTGTGAGGCATTCAAGCTGCTGCCAAAAGGCTAACACAAACAGTGGTTGATCAGGACCATGTGTGTTACTAGCTGCCATCACCCATTTCCTTATCTCCAGTGGAAACATATGGCTAAGTTGAACCAATTAGATTATAAAAACTAAGCCTCGGGATCTTGTGTGTGCTGCTTCATGCTCCCTGGAGGAAGAGTGGGAATCAGGATACAAATGGAATAAACATGAGACACAGCTGTTGTTCCTTGTCAAACAGAGATGTCCTGCCTTTATATACTTTCCATGAAAGTTTCTTCCTGTAGGGGAAAACAGTTTTGCATGATCCTGCTGCTATTCTGATCTTCCAGAAAGTCCCTAGGATGCTAAGTACAGAGAGACATCATTGTCTGTGGCATTTGGCTGGGCCAGATCACAGCAACAATGAAACAGACAAGTTGCCCCATTCCTCCAGCACCAAAGTTCACAGCAATGATGCTCAGAGCTTCACCCCAGTTTTATACTATGCCCTACCCATTCTTCCCACTTGTTCCTTCATCCATTTTTCCCCACTCAAGTCTTCCCCTAATTCCTCCTGCCTTAGCTGATATTATAGGAAGTGACTTGTTTGAGGCCAGACAAACTGAGAGGAAAGGATTTAGCCAGAAGGTTTTTGGCATCTTGAGTAGTTTTTGGTATCTTAAGTAGTTGTGTGGAGGGATAAGATTTACAGTGCATACCTAAACAAAGTTAAATCCTTTAAAGTCCATTGACTTCAATGGACTTAGAAGGGTGTAACTCTGCTATGGATGGCACTGTTAGTCTCTCTGTTACTCCAGGATTCGGTTCTAGAACTGAGAATACAGCATAAGGTGTATATGGATGTGTGCCAAAATGTTCATCCCTCTTATTTTAGAAACAAAGTATTGAAAACTAAATGGCTACCCTAGAAGACAAGTGAAAAGTATGGAGGTGAGACCTGAGCTATAGAAAAGACTGAAGGATAGGGAAAGCTCTAAAGGGTATGAAAGAATGGAAGAAGGTAGAAGGAAAGGCTAGAAGTAGGTATTTGGGCAGATTTGGGGAAAGGAGATGGAGATTCATCATTGTATGAAACCTTTGTCCTAAGAGGGGAAGCAGGATTTAGTTAGGGGATGTTTGTGAAATGCAGTTTAGAATGCATTAGAATTTTTCTGTGAAAGTGAAGCCAGTTGATAGGGCTATTGAGAACTTTATAGAACCCCCCAGGGAACCACCACTCCATTATTCTCAGTGCTAATTTTTAAATCACAAACATATCCTTCTGCTGAGTCAGCTTTGAGTAGATTACTGGACAGACATGTCCCCTATGAAAGAGGCTTTCTGAAGGAGGTTTCTGTGTGATCTTAGGCCAGATGGTCACAGACTCTCAAACAAATGTTCCTTACAGGATTGTTGTGAGGATAAGGTGGAGGAGAGAATAATGATGTAAGCCACTGGAAAGAAAGGTGGAGTAGAAACAAGGTAGATAAACAAATGAAAAAATATTTTTAAGATCAGAGAAACAGATGAAGAGTGGTGAATTTTGTAAAAGGCATAAGCAAGAAATCAGTGTCCCTCTACTGCCCATACATTCAGTCTCATTTAGATATATGCTGCCCCTCCAGAGACCTGCTCATAAAGTAACAACACAACAATAACATTGTAAAAAACAACAACATAAAATACCAATATTAAAACAAGCCACATGGGTTGTTGATGGAACACTTCTGCCATTAGCTTACTTTTTTATTTGAAGTGGAATCTATCCAAATGAAAAACCTGTTATTTGAACTCCACAAGAATTCATCTGTCCTTCCAGCTGAGTAATAATGCTCCAATGCTGAAATTCCTTACAACAAATGTAATATATTTTAGTATAATGCAGGACTCCAATAGCATAATGAGAATATGAAGCTATTTTAATGGCATATACATATATATACACACACATCTCCATGAATATTTTGAAGAAAATTGCATGACATTTTATTTTTATTCAGACCCTACTGTGTTCATTTAAGGGGGGGGGGGGGAGAATATAAAAGCAATCCGTGCCAGTTCCTGCATGGAGCTATCTATGGGCTGTGATTTGTGTGTGAAATATCAGTTGACAGGATGGGAACACTATTTGTGCTGTTAAGAAAACAGTGTAGTATGGAAAGATAGCTTTCAGCAACCTATAAATGAGAATATGAAGCTATTTTAATGGCATATACATATATATACACACACATCTCCATGAATATTTTGAAGAAAATTGCATGACATTTTATTTTTATTCAGACCCTACTGTGTTCATTTAAAGGGGGGGGGGGAATATAAAAGCAATCCGTGCCACTTCCTGCATGGAGCTATCTATGGACTGTGATTTGTGTGTGAAATATCAGTGGATAGGATGGGAACACTATTTTTGCTGTTAAGAAAACAGTGTAGAATGGAAAGATAGCTTTCAGCAACCTATAACTTTTTAGAGCATGTTAAATGTTTAATTTAAAGTAGGCACATTCCTATCTGTGCTGTTAATATTTAATATTGTTCTATACAAGTATTTCAAAGCAAATGACTTTTCAAATGTCTCCTTCCCTTTAAAATTGTGTTTCTTACTTCTGGTTTGTAAAGGTGTATGCTGCAAAACAGCTAAAGGTTCATTTCTTGTATGTGTTTCCTTCTCATCTATCCTATATGAAATTTTTCTCAGATGATCTTTGCTATTCTTTCAGGAAAAAATGTTATTACACTGACTGGAGGAGCAAAACCATGGGCAGGTTGGTGGGTGATGCATAGCTTTTAATTTTGCCGGATAGTCACCCTGCTTTAAAACAAATCCATCCTCGCAGTTGTAAATTTATCACCAAAGACCTAAAGCAATTTAGTTGTATTCAATTAATGGGTGCAGTAGAACTTTGGTGCTTGTTTGTGTTGATTTTGTATCAAGTTTTCTGATCTACAGCTCTATTAAATCACCCTGCTTTTAAAAAATCCATCCTCGCAGTTGTAAATTTATCACCAAAGACCTAAAGCAATTTAGTTATATTCAATTAATGGGTGCAGTAGAACTTTGGTGCTTGTTTGTGTTGATTTTGTATCAAGTTTTCTGATCTACAGCTCTATTAAAGTATTTGGATATGGGTTAGTTCTAGCTACTTATATCTTTCCAACAGGCTGGCTCAGTTACCTTCCTCAATTAAGAAGTTGCTGGTTATTGGTCCTGTTCTTTCAATGACATTAGGGATAGGGTAGATCTCTATCAGTGGTGCCTCCAGGTCATTGTAAAAGCCATGCAAGAGATCATAGGTATTGCTAACTCAGTAACCAGATTAGGATCATTGACTCCTAGCCTAGTATACTTATATGGAAGAGCAGTTTGCAAGGTCTCGGTATTTTAAAATGTGGATACAAGAGGCTGCATCTGGGATCTTCCATGTACAAAACATGTCCTCTAACAATGTGCTATACCTTCTCACAATTGATCCTTACTGGTATTTCAGTTCAATTGAGTTGAAAGATAACTTGTGAGAGATCCTATATAAAAGCTCAGACATGGAGAAATAGCAATAATGGCTTGAATCCTCTACCTTGTTTTCATTTGAATTCATCTTTGCCCATTATAGAGGTAGTCATGCACAGCTGAATACATTCCTTTTGTTCTAGACACTCTTGGTTCTTTGAGAGACATCAGTTCTCCATAAGCAGAAATGTTTAGCATCAGAGGAATAAGTGCTTTGCAAAGGAGGACCATAACAGACAAATAGGACCACAAGTGGAAATAAGATACAGGATCCAAACCAAGGTTTTGATGTACCTGAAGGAACAATCCACTAAAATTGTCAGTCTACTGCTTTTTATTTTGGGGTGTTTGCGTTTACAAAATCAGGTCTGAGACTGCAAACATTGGACCAATGATAACACCATTTTATAAGAACACCATAAGAGTCTCTGGACTTATTTAAAATATAGGTTAGATCCTATCTAAAATTTATGTGGACAGAAAGATATTTATTTATTACTGAAAAGTGTCTGGAGAGGACTCTGAACTGGATCTGCACAAGGGGAGAAATCCTCTGCCATTTTCTAGATTTAAATTTTTCCCTTCAAGTTTCTACTAATCCTGCAGTAATCCTGCTTTATCGTTTTGTGTTGTTGTTTTTTTAAAAAATGCCACCTTTCTATCCAATCAGGGTCAGCAAGGCAGCAAACATAAAAATATTTAAATATTTAAACAATTAAAAATGCAGTTAAAATTATAAAATTCAATTAAAACCATATAAACACACAGCACAAGAAGGAGGGCCAATACCGATATTGGGGGTATGCCAGATGAAACAAAAAGGACTTCATGTGCTGGCAACAGACACTAGGGAGGGAGTTCTAAAATTTTGATGCCACATCAGAGACACCCCTTTCTCAGGTTGCCATCCGTCCCACCTCATATGGTGGAGGCAAATGAAGTAGGTCCTCCAAGGATAACCAGTAGGAGCAGTACTTAAAGTGTGTTGGTCCCAGGTGGTACAGGGCTTGAAATACCAGTACCTTGAATTGAGCCCAGAAATAAATTGGAAGCAGGTGTAGGTGGAATAAGACTGGAGTGATATGATCTCTATGACCCACTCCAGTCTGCCCTCTGGCTGCAGCATTCTGTACCAATGGTAGCTTTTGAACAGTCTTTAAGGGCAGCCCCACATAGAGTGCTTTGTAGTAATCTAATCTAGATGTTACCAGGACATGTACCACAGTGGCAAGATGTTTTCTTCCCAGGAAGCACCATAGCTGGCTCACCACCAGAAGCTGTTGAAGGGCACCCCTGGCCACTGCCAACAGGAGGACCAGGTCCCAGAGCACCCCAAGCTACAAACATGCTCCTTTAACAGGAGTGCAACCCCATTCAAAACAGAGTAATTATTTCCTGGGTCTTACCTTTCCCCTTTTGTCAGGATTTAGCTTCAGTTTGTTAGCTCTCGTGCATCCCAAAACTGCCTCCAGGCACCTGTTCAAGGTTTCCATAGTCTCCCCAGGATCTGCTTGTAGTGCAAGACAGAGCCGAGTGTCATCGGCATATTGGTAGCAGCTCTGCACAAATCTCTGCATGAACTCTCGTTACAAATTTATATAGATGCTGAACGGATGGGGGACAAGATAAACCTTGGGGAACTCCATAGGCCTAAGGACAAGGTGCAGAGTGGCAGTCTTCCAGCACTGTGCTATGAAACCTACCCCAAGGTAGGACTGGAACCATTGCAGAACAGTGCCTCCCAGTCCCAAAAGTTGATCTAGAAGGATTCCATGATTGATGGTATTAAAAGCCACTGAGAGGTCCCAAAGAATTAACAGGGTCACATTACCCCGTCCATCTCCCATCCCATGTTATCCACCAGGGCAATCAAGACCATTTCAGCCCCATAACCTGGTCTGAAACCAAATTCAAATTGGTCTAAACAATCTGCTTCATTCAGGAGTCTCTGAAGTTGGCCAGCCACCTCTTGTTCAATTACCTTGCTCAGGTAATAGCACATTTGAGACTGAATGGTAATTATTCAACTCTCTGGATCCAGAATAGGTTTCTTTAGGAGTGGATGCACCTCTACCTGCTTGAAGGCAGGAGCAACCACCCTGTGTCTTTGGGAGGCATTTACTGTCTCCGAGACCCAGCTCGTTACCACCCTCCCCCTGGCAGATGTAAGCAGCCAGGAGGGTCAGAGGTTCTATGAACAGGTGGTAGGTCTCAACTTCCAAGAATCCTGTCCACATCTTCAGACTGCAGAAGTTGAAAGCTATTCTATGCAACTGAACAAATTGGCACCCTGGGGCCACCCTATCCTGTCACTGCTAATGTATAATCCAAGTCAGAATGGATGCAAGAGATTTTATTCGCAAAGTGCTTAGCAAAATGATCATAGCAGTCCATCTCCTCCCATTAAGATAAGAGCAGCTTCAAGAGAAGGATATTTTAGAATGGGAGAACTTCATGGTTGGAAAAGGTCAAATGCCTCGTACCAGTGTTATAGTCCAATTTTAAGTCACCCATGGCTACTCTTAAGTAAAAATTAAACATGAGGAAATCCAGTCAGAGATGCCCTGTGTCACTGAAGTTTGGCCCTGAGCCTCAAGCTTACTTTACTATCACACATAGGCGTAATCTTCGTGGGGGCGGCGGGGCTTCAGCCCCCACCGAAATTTTCAGGAAGGTACTCAGCCTCCCCCGGGAGCCACCCTTGCTCCTAGCAAAGCAATGCCTCTGGCCCAGCCCCAGCCCCCCCCGGGAAATTGGAAAGTCTACACCCTTGCTATCACACAATCATTAGATGTGGCTCAAGGTAATACCATTTTTTGAAGGAGGATCTCTTACCCTACTTTGCTTATCCTGTTTCTTTAATTGTTGATCCATTTATTCAAACTCAATTAGGGGTTTTATTTCTGGGAAATTGTCAAACTTCTACTGCATTCCAATGGGTGTTTGCTTGTATAATAGATTTAAAAAATGTTGAAGTAGTTCCCATTATCTCAGTACTTCATTCAAAAGTATAATTGGAACCATAGCCACAGGCTAAATGCTTTGAAATAAAATGCTGAACATTTACGGATATTTTCCAAGGTCTGCCTTCTGAATTTTAGTCTATGTGTAGAATTTTTTTGGATTCAGAATATCCAAATTTAGGTAAAGTTTAGTTATTGTCATTATTATTGCCATATTTAGGTTACATTTACTTCTTATGATTTTTATGAACTTAGGTTTCAAGGTTTTTCAACTAAAATATGTGATTCACTTTATTTTAGCTGAAAAACAATGTTGAAGTATATTTCAGAAATATTTTTGCATATGTGGATATTAAATAGAAATGGACACATACCTGATGGCATAAATTTACAACTGCTTATCTCCTCTCCCCAGTCATGCACGTGCTTGCTTTGTATCAGAAACATTATTTTAAAAATGTAAGGTATGCTTTGGGAAATTTATGTAATGTAAATAGTTGTCCCCCCCCCCCCAAAATCTAAACCTAAATTACTCAGCCAGGGCAAATCTAGATATGATGGAGACAGGGCTTTTTTTCTGGGGGAACGCACCAGAATGGAGTTCCAGAACCTCTTCAACAAAATTATTTTTTAAATGTTTAAAAGTTCATTCGTTTTCAGTATGCAGATTGAAAACTTCATTTCCCTCTTGAGAGTTATGACACCTCTTTTTCCAGGAAAAGAGCCCTATAAGGGGATATCCATTTACATTTCCACTAATTAACATGGAAAGCGGAGGAGTAGGATCTATTTCTCATAGAGAGCAAAGACAAAGAAAGCTAAACTATGGGTTATTTCCCACCATATCTTGTACCTTTTGGTTAAAGTGTTTTTTCTTCCAACAAGGTACTAGAACTAGGCTGGAAGAGAAATGTTTCACACAATATAGCATAAGGAGGTTAAGCAATGGCCAAGAGAGGGTTTAGTTTCGCTTTTCTGTATGCTTTGTTTTCTGCAAAAAAAAAAAGGGGGGGGAATACCTCCCTTCCCATATGAATGGTTAGCCATATAAATAAATACATGTAGGTGCCCTATCATGTCCGTAAGGAAGAAAGTCGGTTAATAAATGTTTTATGATAGTGCATCACTGATCTTTCTCCTTTCCCTTGGTTTGCATAATTATGAGCTGCGTTCATTTGATCATAAGAGCTTGCCTCAAGCAATAATTTTTTTTTGTCCACCTGGTTTCACTTATTATTTTATTTATTTAGGGGGTAACTTACCCAAAGTAGCTTAAAAATAAAATAAATATAAA